TTCCCATGGACTTGATTTAATTTTCCTCAACTTCAGCTTGAACTTGCATATGAGTAGTTGGTGGTCTGTGCCACAATCAGCACCCGGCCTGGTTTTTACTGCTGATATTGAGCTTCTCCACCGAGTCTTCCCACAAATACAATCGATTTGATTCCTATGCATACCATCAGGTGAGATCCATTTGTATCGCCTGCATTTATGTTTCTTATAAAAGGTATTTGCAATGAATAAATCATTGAATGTGCAGAACTATCATTCTATCTCCAGCCTCATTTCTCTCACAGAGCCCATATTTTCCAGCTACTGAACCTTCTTCTCTGTTCCCAACTTTTGCGTTCCAGTTGCCCATTATTATCAATGCATCTTGATTGCATGTTTGATCAACTTCTGACTGCAAAAGTTGGTAGAAATCTTCTATTTCCTCCTCTTTGGTTCTAGTTGTTGGTGCATATATTTGAATGATAGTGGTATTCACTGGACTTCCTTGTATGCGTATGGATATTATCCTATCACTCACCACACTGTATTTCAGGATGGAAGTGGCTTTCCTAATGATCCAAGCTCGAAGGAAAAACTAGTTTTTCTCTATATGTTATTATTGTTGAGTATCGTAGAGTAAGAACCAACCCATAGTTGACCCTCCAGTGGGTTTTCATAGGCAGTTAATTGCAAGGGAGAAGACTGCCCATCCTTCTCCTGTGGAGCAGCTGGTGGCCTCGAGCCCTGTGCCTTTGGGATTGCAGCACAGCTTCTTACCACTATGCCAGCAGAGCTCGTATGTATATTACTTTGATAAAAATTTTCGATGTAGCACTATGACAGAACAATACTTGTTATACAAAAGATTCTGTATGTTTCTTGCCAAGAAAAAATTAGCCTAAGTGACAGAAATCTATCTTAAATAATCACGAGCTAATTAATAACTGGAGCTCTCATGGTCTAGTGGAAGGAATCTGCACTGCAATCTCAGGCATGAAGGTAAAATCCACCAGCTATTCTGCCAAGGAGAAACAGGCAAACTCCTCCCTTGTGACTTACTGCCTCTGAAACCCACTGGGCTATGAATTGTTCTGACTCGAAAGCACACAACAACAACATCAATAATTAGGGTGTTTTGGTGGTGTAATCCATAGGAGGTTAGGCTGCTGTAATCCAAAGATGGCTTCTCTCTGTGCTGGTTCAAGTCCCTCCACTGCTCCTTGGGAGAAAGATGAGCAGTCTCCTCCCATGAACTTTGCAACCTCTGAAAACTCCCAGGAGGGTCAGCAAGGAGTTTGTTACAACTTAATAGCAATCAGGGTTTTGGTTTGGGTTAGGTTGTTTGTTCTTTTTTAATTTAAATCAATAATTGATGTTTAATGACAACTCTAACCTGTTAATCTTTTCTTTAACTGTAAGTACAATTTATATATTTGACTTGGAAATGTGTTACAGTGGTAGATAATCAACATGAGAATGTCAATGGATGATCTTTCTTAACCAAAAGAGTTCACTTGGTAATTTCAGTCTCTGTCTTTTTTTAACCTAGAAGAGAAATCTTTTGTTGGCATTTGAAGCAGCTCAAAGTGTAGGCATCAAACCCAGCCTGGTAAGTCTCCTTTTTTATATTCTTGTTACAATTATTCTAATTATATAGGATATGATTCTTAGCCACCTACTATACAATATATACAGAATATTAAAACCCATTTGTCATTACTCCTGGTTTCTAATATAAAGAAATCTAGGTCATCTAACCACTTGATTTCAGGCTTTTTTCCAATGAAGATTTAATTATGGATACATTTTATTTATGAAAATACAGCAAAGTAAATTTTCATTAAATCTCTTCTTGTTCAGATCACCTTAAAATCTGAACAAAATTCAGTTTGAAAAATATATAATGCATGACTGAGGGAGCTCTGGTGGCCTAGGGGCAAGAAATTGCACTGTAATCTTGAGGCACAGGGTTTGAGTCTACCACCTGTTCTGCGGGAGGAGGAAGGGCCATCTCCTTTTGCGTGATTAGCCGCCTCTGAAAACCTGCCAGAGGGTCAGCTGTGGGTTGATTCTGACACATGTTGTTGGTACACAACAACAGTAAAAATGCATAACTGAGATCTTAAGAAAGAAGAAGAGAAAATGAGATACCAAGAGCAGAACAAAGCCAGTCCCATAGGCATGAGCTGGGACTGACAAAGGCCAGTGTGGGAAACCAAGGTGGGCATGGTGATACAACGCTCTTACTAAGTGGATTCTTAATTAAGGATAAAGTCATGGGCTTTCGCTAATGCCCACTCAGGAATGTGACAGAGGTCCTAAGTTCCCATAAGCAGAGGGGTAGAACTGAGATCCCTGCAAAGAGAGAGAGAGAGAGGTAAGGGGCAACCTGCTGTCCCCTGAGATGATGGAGAAGTTTGTCTCTGCCTGGGACTTATTTTTATCATCAAAAAAGGGAAATACTGATGTGTCAAATGCAATAATGGTTACCCATGGTGGACAGTGTTTGATGGAGCTCCCCAATTAAAACAAGCTTGGAAGCAGAGTGGCATCTACTTCTGAAATAATTTGCCTCTGGAAACTCTATGAACTTGGAGAAACAATGAAAGTTGTACAAGTGTTCAGGTCTCTCATTCATAGGAATGCTATGTGGTTACAACAACAACCCCAGTAGCAGTGGCAAAGCATAACATGCAACAAGCAATAAATGTTGGAGAGAGTGTTGAGAGATTGGAACTCTCAAGCACTGTTGGTGAGATTGTAAAATGGTACAATCACTCTGGAAAGCAGGTGAGCAATTCTTCAAAAAGCTGAGTGTAGACTTTCCATGACCCCACTATTCCACTACTACGAATATACCTCAAGGAAAATAGAACTGAGATACAAATGAAGATTTGTACACCAGTGTTCATAACAGCATTATTCACAATGGCAAGAAAATTGAAACAGCCCAAAGAGATTCAGAAATTGTGGTATATTCATATGGTGGAATACCGTACAGCACTCAGGAACAATGATTTCGAAAAATAATATATAACATGAGAGAGGCTGGAGAGTATTATGCTGAGTGAACTAAGTCCGTTTTATAAGGACAAAAACTGCACAGACATTTAATATAAAAATAAAAAGATTATTAGTAAGTTGTGGATAAAAGCCCAAATGGGAGTAGATGAGTGGAGAGGGAATCATGGAGTCACAGAGTTTGGTAGGTGGAGGGAGAGGCTGAAAGAATTAGTAAAGATCCACTGGGGACCTGAAAAAAATAAGGTGATAGTATGCATAGATCAACGGCAATTAATTTTCTAAAACACAATCTATGTGAATGATAGTATGAAACACAATGTGAATAGAGGAATGTGTGCAACACAATGTGTATAAATTAAACAAAATACATATGAATTTTGTATGCAAGTCAATATAAAATAAAAATAATTTTAAAAATTTATTATGCAGATTTGTTTTGTTGGAAGATGCAGAGCAATAAAGTGTTCAGACGCATTTTTAATAAAGCCTTTGCTTTAGCTGGAAAAAAGAGGGAGGGGACTTTCCTGTAAGAAAAGAAAACAGGTGCAGATGCAGTTTGTAGTTTGCATTAATAATATCTATCTTACAGGATAAGATCTGGTGATGTGATGCTTTATGTTGGTTCAAAGGAATCAGATGGCTAAAATCCACTAACTGCTCCTTGGGAGAACTATAAAAAGTGTAAAGACTTACAGCCTGGGAAACACAGTGAAGCATCACTATGAGCTGGAACCAACTCAAACAGCAGTGGGTTTGGGTTTAGGGATATTGCAGGATGTGCCTACTTCATACTGTCAGTGGAGCAGGCATTTCCTCAGCTGGTCTTACAATTGCTGCTAGAAAAATGTGAAGAAGCCAAAATAATAAAGTACCCAGGAAAATTTTCTACTCTGGGCTACTTAGCAGATACAACAATCAAAAGGATTCTCGACCATAACTTGACTTAACAAAATAATGTCAGCTGCCATCAAGTCCACTTGAGTTCCTAACAGCCCTGTATGTACAAAGCAGAGCTTTGGCCTGTGGATCCTTAAGGCTGTGGCCTCTTGGATGCATATGCCACATCTAGCTGCCACGGCACTGCTGTGATGGGCTTCAACAGTCAACTTTCCAGCCTGTAATTGAGTGCATCACCTTTTGCAGCACCTAGGGAATCCCAACAAAACAGAGGAGACTCCTAAAAGACTGTGTTCAGAGGATTTTTAAAAAGAATAAGAATCATAAGGGAAGAACATGGCACTATTGAGGTAGAACCAGCTATTGAAAAGAATTGGATAAAAATTCTGGAAACAGAAATTTGGAATTGAAAACATAAACTCAACTCATTGCCATCAAGTCAGAACAAACTCATGACAGACCCTTGGGTGCGTTTTCAGAGGCTGTAAGTTGCATAAGAGAAGACTGCCCACCTTTCTCCTACAGTGCCACTGGTGGATTTGAACCATTGAAAAGGCAAAGCTTTGGGTTAGCAGCACAACTCCCTACAAAGGGATGGAACATAAGAGAGAATTCTTGAGCTCGGTGTGTGTGTTTGTGTGTGTGTAAGGAGGTTACTCAGAACATTTGAAAATGGGGAAATAAGGTAGATTTTGTTAGTGTACATTCAGCTTCAGAAAATAGAAAATCCAACCAATAGATGCTGAAACCATTTGCCGTTGCCTCACATCTTCTCCAGGTCAAGGCAGCGCCCGTGAGGGGAGAGCTCTGCCCCACAGGATTCTTGGTGGCTGGTTTTTGGAACAAGTCACTAGACCTTTCTTCTTAGGCACCTCTGGGTAGACTCACATTCCCAACCTTTACGTTGGTAGCTCAGCACACTGATTTGCACTGCTCAGGGATCCCCATTTACCTTACTAAGGTTAATGGGAGTTTTTACCTTTTTTAAAAAAAAATTTGTGATTTATTATTATTATTAATTTTAATGAAAATTTACAGGGACTTTGGATTTCCATTCATTCATTGTTGCACTTTTCTCCCTGCCCACCCCCACCCCCCAGTTTGCTCTTCTCTGAAAAGAAAAAGAAAAATTCTTCCATTGTTATACAATCCCTCCCCCTAGGTCCACTCCACTATGCAACCTTCATTTTGGACTCCTGTCATGGCGATAATACCTAATCATATATCCATTTTAAACAGTTTTTCTCTCATCTGTTTAAATGAAGTATACAAAATTTATCCCATCTTTCTCAGTCTCCCCTCATCCCCAACGTCAGTCGCATTTTATAACACTGGCACTATGCAGTATTTGTCCTTTTGTGACTGCGATATTTCGCTCAGCATAATGTCCTCCAGGGTCACCATTTTGTATAATATTCCATGAGTTCCTTGTTTTTCAGTGCAGCATAGTATTCCATTGTGTGGTTATACCAGAGCTTCTCTATCCATTCATTTGTTGATGGGCACTTGGGTTGTTTCAACTCTGCTATTGTGAACAAAGCCGCAATAAACATGGGTGTGCATATATCTGCTTGGGTGGCAGTTATGGTTTCTTTGGGTTATATTCCCATTAGTGGAATTACTGGGTCAAATGGTATCTCTATTTGCAACTTTTTCAGAAAGTGCCATACTGTCTTCCATAGTGGTTGCACCATTTTACACTCCCACCAACAGTGAATAAGGGTTGCAGTTTCTCTACAACTTCACCAGCATTTGTTGTTTGCTGTTGTGTTAAATTTGGCTATTCTGACTGGGGTGAGATGATATCTCATAGTTGTTTTGATTTGCATCTCTCTTAGAGCTAGAGATTTTGAACATTTCTTCATGTGTTTGTGTGGCATTTGAATGTTTTCTTTAGTGAAGTGTCTGTTCATATCCTGTGCCCATTTTTCAGTTGGGTTGTTTACCTTTATCTTGTTGTGGTGCTCAAGTATTTTATAAATTCTAGATATAAATCCCTTATCTGACATATCATTGTTGTGGTTGTGTGCCGTTGAGTCGTTTGCAACTCATAGCGACCCTATGTATAACAGACCTAAACCCTGTTCTATCCTGTGCCAGTCGCACTGCCTCTGACACACACATCCCGATTACCCCAGTCACGGAATCAGTCCACCTCATAGAGGACCTTCCCCTCCTGCGCTGTCCCTCTCCAAGGACCTGTCTCTCCTTACAACATGTCCAGAGTATGTCAGAAGAAGCCCCAGAATCCTTGCCTCCAACGAGCAGCCTGGTTTAACCCTCTTCAGGATGAATCTGTTTATTTTCTTGGCAGTCCATGGTACATTCAATACTCTTCTCCAGCACCACAGCTCAAAGGCATCAGTTCTCCTTCTATCATTGTGGCATCTGGATTGGTGGAAGATCTATTAACAGTCTGCATTATGCAGATGACACAACCCTGCTTGTTGAAACTGAGGAGGACCTGAAATGCTTGCTGCAGAGGGTCAAGGACTGCAGCCTTCAGTATGGATTGAAGCTCAATGTCAAGAAGACAAAGATTCTCACCATTAGACCAACTGGCAGCATCAGGATGGATGGTGAACAGATTTATATTGTTAACAGTGTTAGTCTGCTTGGCTCCACGGTCAATACTCTTGGCACCAGTAGTCAGGAAATAAAAAATCGTATTGTGATGGGAAAGTCTGC